CGGGGCCGGGGCCGGGGGGGCCGTGAGCCCCTGGGACATCGCGCTGTGCGCGACGGGGACGGCGGTGGCGGGGGAGAACGCGCTGGTGCTGGCCGTGCTGTTCTACACGCCGAGCCTGCGGGCGCCCATGTTCCTGCTGATCGGCAGCCTGGCCCTGGCCGATCTGCTGGCCGGGCTGGGGCTGGTGGCCAACTTCGCCGTGCGGTACCTGCTGCGGCCGCCCAGCGAGGCGGCGGAGCTGGGGGCGGCGGGGCTGCTGCTGGCCGCCTTCTCCGCCTCGGTCTGCAGCCTGCTGGCCATCACGGTGGACCGCTACCTGTCGCTGTACAACGCCCTCACCTACCACAGCGAGCGCACGCTGGGCTTCACCTGCGCCATGGTGCTGCTGATGTGGGTGCTGTGCCTCGGCGTGGGGCTTCTGCCGCTGCTGGGCTGGAACTGCCTGCGGGACCAGAGCGCCTGCAGCATCCTGCGGCCCGTCACCAAGGACAACGCGGCGGTGCTGGCCGTCACCTTCCTGCTCCTCTTCGCCCTCATGATGCAGCTCTACCTGCAGATCTGCAAGATCGCCTTCCGGCACGCTCAGCAGATCGCCGTGCAGCACCAGTTCATCGCCACGGCGCAGGCCACCTCCACCCGCAAAGGGCTCTCCACCCTCTCGCTCATCCTCGGCACCTTCGCCCTGTGCTGGATCCCCTTCGCCATCTACTCCTTGGTGGCCGACTCCAGCTACCCCGCGGTCTACACCTACTCCCTGGCGCTGCCCGCCACCTGCAACTCCCTCATCAACCCCATCATCTACGCCTTCAGGAACCCCGACATCCAGAAGTCGCTCTGGCTGGCCTGCTGCGGGTGCGTCCCTTCCACCTTCTCCTCCAGACCAAGGACATCCAGCGACGTGTGAGGACTGGGCGCGGAGCCCGATGCGCTCCCTCGCTCTCCTCCTTGTTCCCCTCTGTCGTTATTGTTTCCTACCGGGGGGAACCCCGCTCCCCCCCTGCCCCCCCCGGCCAGCACATCTCCTTCCATGAAAAGGTGGCCAAAAAAAGAGAAAAAAAGGGAAAGGGAAAAAGAAGGGGGAAAGAAAGAGAGAGAGAGAGAGAGTAGGATGAGAATGGTTTCCTTTAGAAATGTTATTTTCTTACACATTTTATTTTTTATTTAAAAACACAAAACACAAAAAAAAAAAAAGAAAAGAAAAAAAAAAATCCTCCGTACGATGGCGTTTGTCTCCTCTCGGGGTAAGGAGCCAGGGAAGCAGCGGGCTTGCCGGCCCTGGCCGGGTGGCTTCCCCCCCCCCCCCCGGAGGGCAAGTCCCACATGGTGGGGGGGGGGGTCGGGGGTCGGGTCCCCTCACGGCGGGGCTGGTTCCCACGCGTGGGGTTGTTGTGTGGGGCGCCCACCCCCCTAAAATCAGGTCTCGCAATGCTATGCAATAATCCG